TGACCTTGATTTTGATGGCCTTCCACTTACCTTAGACCATGAAGCTTGGAACACTTTTTGTTACCCTCATCCTCCTCTACGTAACCCTTAAAGGGTTTGCCATTTTGTGTTGATTTGCCTTGGATTCTAGAGAGACTCTTCTCTAGTGAGGTAGGGGATGTTATAGGGTTATATTTTTGTTTCTTGCATGCTATTGATGCTTATATAAGTAGTATACATGTCTTTTGCTAATTTGAGAAATTAGTGATTTATCATATCTTGCATATAAATCATTTTAGACTTGGTAAATGGCATGGCTATGAGTTGATCTTTGATATATATTAATTTGGTATGATTTAGATGAGTTTTCAAATCTAGAGATTAAATGGATTTAATTTGATTTAAATTCTAGTAAATTGTATTTTACTTGTATTCCATTTTAGACTTGAGATATGGTTTAACCATGATTTGGTACTTGATATATATTAATTTGGAATCATTTGAATAATTTATGAAATCTAGAGATTTGATTAATTTAAATTAATTAAAATCTACATGATGATGTCTTGCCTATTTTGCTCTTTTGATTTGATATATGTATTGAGCATACTATGTTGTTTAACATATATGAATTTGAGGTTATTAGGGACTGGTTTCAAATCTAGAGACTTTTCATGTTAGGTTGAAAATCCCTTGAAATGTAGTGAAATTAATTACCTTGTGAGTATATTACTAATTAGATGTAGAATTAGTACTTGTGGCCTCTTGAAATGCTAATTGGACTTAGCATGATATAGAATATCATTGACTTGTATAACTTGTTTATATATATCTTGTGTAGGTATATAACTTGTTAGAATATTACAATTGATTTCCTTGAAAGCTTGATACTAAATTATAGCCTATTTAGTACTTGTGACTTAAGATGGTAATGTGGTTCAATTGTTGTAAAATATTCTTGCTTTATGTATAAATTGTATATTGAGGACATGACATGTCATATGCTATTTAGACTTGAATTCTAGGACATGGTTTGTATGGAATTAACCTTACTTGTGCATGGAATGTGGTAACTTGCATTTGATTTTGTATAAGTTTTGAACTTATTGATTTTGGAAAGCTTGTGAGGACATAAATTATATGATGGCTAGGGTTTGGCTCTAGTACGGAGACAAAAGTCTTCTAAGTCATAAGTGCGCACTAGGTGGTACCTTGTGGGTCGTAATTACCCGAAAATACTTGCTTGGTTTAGCGACCGCATGTCCTAGTCTTTCCACTATTTGTTGTTTTTGTATTTAATTCTAAGTTGTAAATCATGGATTACTTGTAGCTTGAGAATTGATGCTTGTTTGGGGTAATTGAATACTATTTAGTATACTTGAACTTGTATACTTGTTCCGTGAGTTTAAATTGCATGTAGTATACTTGTGACATGTATACTTGTCTCATGCGCAATCCTTTTCGCTTAGTATACTTGTGGCTGTGTACTTGATTCATGAGATTTCTATATTAATGTATACTTGTGTAGATATGCTTAGACATTGCATGACTTGTATTAATATGGTTTAGTATACTTGGAGATGTATGCTTATAAGTCGCATAACATGTTTTAACATTGTTTAGTATACTTGAGCATATATATTTGTTTGCCGTTGTTTGCTTTGAATTGCATGAGTAGCTTAGGATGCTCCCTGAGTCTCACTTAATATAGACGTTAGGTGGCATGAGCCCCTTCAACATGTTTCACCTTAAGGTGATATAATTGTAAAATGCTAGGTCGATGCATATTCATTTCCTATGAGTAGCTTTATGTTACTCACCTATGTAATGGGGACATTTTTCAGGTACAGGAATCAAGGTTCGAGATTCTCATTATGCTTGGATGATTCTAGACTCGAAGGTTTTTAACTCTTGTAAAGGTTGGCTTGGAATGCCACTTATAGTCTTTTATGTCAAAATATATATATTTGATTCCATATATGTAATGTGTACATGAGTACACTCTTTACAATGTAGTTGGTATGTATGAGATGAGGCCGGAGGCCAATGACATGTATTTGTATACTATGTAATTTTTTGACTTCATGGAATATTATGAAAATATTGAAGATTATTGAGTTTTTGTTTCACCATGGGTGCATCGGGTGTGGGAATTGCATTTTCATTCTTTCATAGGGTCTTATTAATTATGTATGAAGTGTGACCAAGGGCCAAACGGTCATTTGAAGTCATTTGTTGATTTTGGTTTACAAAGTTTCCATTTTAAGTTCATTTTCACCTTTTTCGCTATCGGGGGGTTGGATTTTGACTCGGCCATTTTCGGGAGCCGTGGACCATTCCTACGTGCTCAAAATCACTATTTACGTTTGTGTGAATGATCATTTTCATGAAAACCCTTTTCGTTTGTGTTTTGAGCCTCCTATGGATTCATTTCACCTTTTTGTTGAAAAATTTGGCTTAAGGGCATTTTGGGAAATTCCTTTGAGAAATAAATTCCGTTCTTAACTCCATCACATAGAAAATGTGATTTTAAGGGGAGTTTCTTCACGACATTTTTCCAAAAAATGTCATCTTGACCTCAAAAACCATGTCGCAAACTTATTTTTCTGCTAAAACACTGTTTCTGCTGCATTTTGGGTGTTCTGTTCAAGTTGAACCGGTTCAAGAATAGTTGAACCGGTTCAAGGTGTCATTTTGATTCAGCTTGGGTGTACTTCTAATTTTGAACCGGTTCAAGAATGTTGAACCGGTTCAAGTCTTCCAGAGTTTTCAGTTTTGAACTTCGAACTTCAAATTGATGTAACTTCTTTGTTTGAACTCCGAATTGGTCCGTTCTTGAGTCTAAACTGACCGCGTTGAAATAAGCTTTCCAATGGTATGAATTTCAGTTTCATATTCTTTTCCTAGCTCATGAAATCCTTGTTTTAGTGAGAGTGTTTCAGATTTGGTTCGAATTGGGATAGGGTTCTTTGGGATTTCATTTTCTTTGGCCTTGAGACTTCATATGAAGTTACCAAAGGATGTTTTTGGATGTTTTTGCTCTCATTTAACTTGTTGAAAGTTAAATTCCTTCCTCTTAGGGTAAAATGACCATTTTACCCTTGGCTCTTCTCTTGTAGGGTTTTGATGCACTTCTCATCTTTTTTATTTCCGTTGAGTCTCAAAACTGTTTGAGAGTCCATTCTTGTGCTCTAGGGATCATGTACATCTCTAAGGACTTGACTTTGTTTTGCTTCCACACTTTATTCATTTGAATTCCGTGGCTTCATAGGGAGTCATCGTGGTGCCTAGGGATGGCGTACATCTCTTGAGGCCATTTTCCTTCTTTTGCTTCCGCATCTTGGATCCGGTTCAGGTCGTCACAGGACACGCTGGGCTGAAAAATCTAGGGTCGTTACATGTATGTATGCTAGATATTGTTTATCCCGTTTAACATGATTTAGTGTACTTGTGAGCATGTGTACTTGAATGCCGTGTATCATGTTTTAATACGATTTAGTGTACTTGAGTATGTATACTTGCATGCCGTAGTTTATTTCAATTGCATGAGTAGCTTAGGATAATCCCTTAGTCTCACCTTGACATAGACGTTAGGTGGCATGATCCTTTTGAACTGTTTCATGTCAATCTAAAAAAATCTGTAAGAAATCGAATTTATGCATGCTTATTCTCTACGAGTAACCATGTTTACTCACCCTGAAGTTACCGGGGGATTTGTTTAGGTACGAAGACTTGGTTCGTGATGTTCAACATTGCTTGGATGATTGTAGACTTGAAGGTTTTAATTCTTGTAAAGGTTGGCTTGAAATGCCACTTGTAGTCTTTTAGGTCAAAATGTGTATATTTGATTTCATTTATGTAATGTGTACATAAGTACACTCTATTCAATGTATTTGACTTGTATGTAATGAGGCCAAGGGCTAAAGACACTTTATGTGATATGTATGCAAATTTTTAACTTCATTGTTGCTTATGGAAGTTAGGAGATTTCATGCATTGAAGGGTCATATTTTACATATAATATGCCATGAGGCCGTAGGCTATTGTATTACATCTACTTTATCATATTACATATGCTTGCATGTTCACTTTGGCACACAATACCCTTCTTGATGAAACAAAAACTTAAGGTTGCATTTTTTTTGAATTTTTACCCTATTCTTTTCCAAGTGCATTTCGGGTATTTTGCAATGTGTTTTTTTTCATTTTTATGAATGTAGTCAGGTAGAAAACTCAATTTTGGAGGGGGTTTCTTCTTTGTGTTTTTCCAGAAAACGTCATCTTGGCCCTCAAAACCCCATTTTTTTCCAGAAAAATCCTTGTTGCCAGGTTTTTACTGAATTTTAATACAAGTGTACTTGGTACTATTCATCGACTTTTTCTTGAAAGCGTGACGATCGATCCGAAACTTCTAGGGGTCTTGTGAGTTTATTTTAAGTTTGCATTTTCAATTTAGGCAATTTAAAAGCCTCCCGAAGCCCTATTTCCTTTTCTTGGGCAGTAGCTAGGACTGATTTTTACCCTCTTGACCTGATTTTCATGGGGGCATTTTGGGCATTTTACAATGCATTTTTTTTTTTGTTTCCGTTGCGTTTCTGGGTAGAAAATTTTATTTTAGGGGGGTTTTCTTCTTTGAGTTTTTCCAAAAAAGTCCGTTTAGTTGCCCGTTTTTACTCTTAGTTGCAGCAATAGTGGGTCGGCAGCAATGTAGCAGTCGTGACCCTTGTCGGGCCGCCGTGACATTGTTTTTGTTTTTGACCTTTCTCCCACGTCCAGACTCCAAATCGAGTAAATTTTTTTTTAAAATTTGCTAATTTTTCATCGTCTATTCAACGGTGTGCTCGGTTATGCCTAGATATTTTTGAATAATTACCAGTTTACCCTTTTTGTTTTATATGTCCGTTTTTCTTTGTTTTGCCGTTTCTCCTTCGTCCGAACTCCTTCTGTAATGCCCCGAATTTTTTTTCTAAATAAAATCCTCGATTTCATTAAATCAACCTACTTAAATATTATACTCAGGATCTCAAAAAAAGAAATATCATTTTATTGATACAGAATCAATTTCCTCAAATAAATAATACAACATCTGTAAAAAAAAAAAATAATCTTCTACACCAACTCTTCCACCTAAGCCCACTACTAGCAATTCAAGTTCATCCTCGGTACCTGAAACTGTAGGGGGGTGAGACAGTAGGAAAAACCATAATAAGGATTTCAAAGAGTTTCATGATAAATTTGCTTCACAAAAATATATATATGTTTTTAAACAAAATATATATATATGTAATTTTAGTAAAATAACAATCAACAAAATATTTGAAATAAAATCATCCAAGCCATTCAAGGTATGATGATCCCTACTCTGTAAAAGAATTAATCACATAATTATCAATTCACCAATTCTCGGCCCTCTCTGCCTTCTCTCGGCATCTCCTCAAACTCTCTGTCTGTCTGCTTGTTTCCTTTATTTTTCTCTCTTTCAAAATACTTACCAAAGTCACAATTATATAAAGGAGAATCCACCACTAACCAAACAACTATTCACACAAAATATCAATTTTGAAACAAAATATCAACTGGTCCACCACCCATTCATTCTTTACTTTAATTTTCCTAACCTTATCACCTTCCATTCTTATCATTACATTCTTTTCATTCCAATTATCACTTAACAAACAAATGAAATACACACCATAAGAAACAGCCACGTGCATGCAAAAAGCCAAAGCCCACAAGATCAATTAGTGGAACCCACCATCAAAATCACATTTCCAATTTTTCTTCTTCCCTTTCCCATCTCGGCTGGCCTGTTCCTTCCTTCTTTTACGGTAGCTAGGTACACCTCCCTCCTAATGCTATATATATACATATAATAAATTCAACCCATTAAACTCTTTTACATCAAGTGGGACCCATGAATTATTTTTCTTTCTTTTTGTCTCTAAATCTCGCTGGCAGCTTGTTGCCTATATCTAGATATTACATGCAACAATTAAAAATCAAACTCATTATCATCCTTTAGGTGGGACCCACAAAATTACAAATTCAATTCCTCCTTCCTCTAATTTTCGGCTCCTTCACTGTTCCACTCATCAGATGCAATTTATATTATATATAAAATATATAAATACAATTGCAACAAAACCAAATTAACCCATTATATCTCAACAGAATAATTAACAAATTTAAATATCGTAATCCAATCTCCAATTGATAAGTCTCCAATTAAAACAAAATAGTTAATTTTGTCAATCAAAAATCAAGAGATAAATATAATTTAAAATCTTAAAAAAATCCGGGTTGTCACAAACATATATTAATTTGGGGGCCATTTGAAGTTGTTTTAGGAGTTAGAGATTTAATTATCATGTTTTAATTAAATTCTACCTTATTGTTTCAATGACCTAATTAAGTTTTGATTTCGTGTATGTAATGACCATGCTATATTGTTTAACATGTGTTAATTAGGGATCATTTGATTGAGAATTGAAACCTAAGGAAATTAATTAGTTTATTTACTTAATTTCCATTTCTATTGCATTAATGATATAATCATGTACTTGATGTTGGTAGTATGTTTAAATCATGATTTTGGACTTGTATTAGATTAATGAGTTTATGATTTTAATGTTGAGATATTTTGTTATAGCGTGTAACGAATCGCACACTGAAGATTCCACATTTGTCATGCCTTAGTAGTTGTGGACTTAGAGCATGTATTGTATGTGTTTCCAAATTCGGTTGTGTATGATAGATAGTTGATTATCTTGTATATACATGTTGATATATACATTGTTGCATAACTTGTTGATTTTGGAAACTTGAGGATGTCGTTGTTTGGCTACGGCTAGGACTTGGTTCTAGTACGGGGGATTGTCCCTCTATATAGTCTAGTGCGCACATAGGGAGGTTTACCATGGGCTAGTAACCCTAAAGTAACTATGGTGTCGGTCTGATTCGGCGTGACATCCAAGTATCCACTTTGGTTGATTTCACATTTTCATTTTAAGTTGATAACTAAATGATATCGTAACTTGTTATTCTTTGTTTGATTTCCAATTTTAAGTTACAAGATGTTAACTTTGAGAAATCATGCTTTATGCATTGTATTGGAAGTTTCAATGTTGGTTAAATTGCATCGATATTATGATTTGTGTTTTGATGTTCAAATGTAATTTAGGAATGATCCTATAGATTGATTTTGAACATAGACGTTAGGTGGCATGACCCAGTTTAGTTGTTTTTATACCTTTAGATTTCAAGTCGATATTTTGGGAATCTATATCTTGTTGCTTTGTATAACATGCTTCCATGTGTTTGAATTGCATGAACAATGTGATTGTGCTATAAATGATCTAGGGTAGCTTAGGATGCTCCTTAAGTCTTATCTTGACATAAACGTTAGGTGGCATGACCCATTTTGAATTGTTTCATGTTAGTCTAAAAATCTGAAAGAAATCGAGTCTATGCATGCTCATTCTCTATGAGTAAACTTGTTTACTCACCCCGAAGTTACTGGGGGATTTATTCAGGTACGAAGACTTGGTTCGTGATGCTTATTACTCCTTGGATGGCTTGTAGATTTCAAGTTTCCATTTCATGCAAATGTTAGCATGGAATGCCATTTTGTAGCCTTATATGTCAAAACTTGTATCTTTGATTCCATATATGTAATGTGTACATAAGTACACCTTTTGTAATGTATTTAACATATATGAGATATGGCCGGAGGCCAATGACATGTATTTTGTATTCTAGGTAACTTTTGACTTCATGAAATATTATGAAAATATTGAAAAATCACAAGTCATTGTTTCACCATGGTTGCATCGGGTGTGGGAATTCCATTTTCATTCTTTCATAGGGTCTCATTAATTATGTATGAAGTGTGGCCAAGAGCCAAACGGTAATTTGAAATCATTTGTTAATTTTAGTTTTCAAATTTCCCATTTCTTGATCATTTTCGCCTTTTTGGCCATTGGGGGGTCGGATTTTGCATCAACGGTATTTTTAAGCCATGGACCATTGTAGCATGTCCAAATAGGTAAGTTACATTTGTGTGCATTATCGTTTTCAAGAAAAATCCTTTCCTTTGTGATTTGAGCCTTCTATGGACTCATTTTACAATTTTCTTGCATAATCTGATTTTAGGGCATTTTGGGGTTTTCCTTCTGGAAATAAATTCTGGTCTTCACATGCTGACTTAGAAAATGTGATTTTAGGGGTGGTTTCTTCTTTGTGTTTTTCCAGAAAATGTCGTCTTGGTGCCGGAAATCCTTCACAAAGTTCAGCTTTTAGTTTTGCAATGTAGCAGCTTTTTCACCCTCACTACCAGATTTCATGGAGGGGTATTCTGGGAAGTTTACAGTGTAATGACCCAGTCATTTTCCTTCCTTTCCTTTTCTCATTTTTTTTCCGTTGTTCTTTTCCTTTCTGAGTTCAGTTTTTCATCACTTAGTGTCGTCTCGAGTGCTCTGGAATGATTTCTGAGACTCTTTTCTTTGGATTGACAACTTCCTTTAAAGACCAAGTCATTTACACATTTTTCGTTTTCTGATACTATTCACTTTTCGTCCTTTTCCCTATTTTGTCTTTTCCCTGTTTGTCACTTTTTGGCACAACCTCACTTTTCGTGCTCGGAGTTGGTTTTTGACTTCACGTACATTCATTCTAAGTGGTTTCCACGAAATACGTATCTTTACTTTTGTAAGAAAGTACTCTGGTTGCTACCGATGTCCATAGGGGCATAGATGCATTGTTTTTCAGAATCTTTTTCTTTTCTTCGGGTGTTTTTCATAGATATCTTTTAAAAATATTTAATTTACCCAGGAAAAAAAGAAAAAGAAGGAAAAAAAAAAAAAAAAAAGAAGAAAGATATTTTATTTCAGGGGTTTTGAAGAAAATATTTTTTGAAGATATTTTCATTATGGGTTATTAGTGCAATTTTCACTTTTTGGAGGGGTCATTGTGTAATTAGCGAAAGTTATTACAAAAATACCTCGTCTGGAGCCTGGATCCTCGTACGAGATTCGTTTTCACATTTTGTCGAATCATGTACTCTTAGAATTCTGTTCTGGTCGTTTTTCTCCAGTTTCAGAGTTTCTGACCCCGGTTGCCGCCGAACTTGTTCGGGGCATATCTATCTGCTCAGGACTCAGTTTTCAATGTTGTTTCTTCCGTTATTCATGTTTTCTCATTTTGAATCTTTTTTGTTCACGGAGTTTTTCCGTTTGAGCGCGTCTGCTCAAATTCTACTTTTCCAGACCAGGTGGGGCCCTTTCGGGGCACTTTTAGGGTTTTACTATAAATAGGTGGTTATAAAATTGAAAAGTCACTTTCTCCTCCCTTCATGTATGACCTGAATCTTCCATGGCAGCCCAAGGGGGGCTGCCACCCTTCTCTTTGATCGACGGATCGATTATCAATTATAAATCAACCCATTTGCAATAGCACAAATCATTGTAAAATAGGGCTATTGGTCGGGTAAGTCGAACCACTGGGACTGCTAGTCTATGGCAACCTAGGTATCTAGAATCTTTTTAGAATGATAAGGGGGTTTATAGAGGATTTGTTGGATTGTCTGTGACGGCCCAAGTTTTGTAAACCCGGTGCGTTAGTGATGACCAAAAGATGACCCGATAATGGATCCGAAATACAGAAGCGAAAGGTGAAACAACGGTCTATAGAGATACAATGCATCTCTAAGACACCAATGTGACCCTCAATGAGGTCACGGAACCCAAAGGAAACAAATGCAGAAGTGTCGTTTCAAAAACGGACAAAAAGAACCTAGGGGCAAAATGGTTATTTTGTAAAAAGTGGATTCAGGTGCTATCGAGCACACCGCTGGAAAGAAAATGACAAATTAGTCAAGTTCAAAAAAAAGTTTACTCAATTTGGAGTCCAGACGGGGGAGAAAGGTCAAAAACAAAAATGATGTCGTGGCGGCCCGACGAGGACAACCCACCACTGCCGCAACTGAGAGTAAAAATGGGCATCTAAACGGACTTTTTTGGAAAAACTCAAAGAAGAATCCCCCCCTAAAATCAAGTTTCCTACCCCGATCGTGAACGGAAACAAAAAAATACGTTATAAAATGCCCAGAATGCCCCCAAGAAAATCAGGTCAAGAGGAAAAAAAACTAATCCGAGCTACTGCCCAAGTTTTGGAAATAGGGCTTCGGGAGGTTTTTAAATTGCCTAAATTGAAAATACAATCTTAAAATGCACTCATAAGACCTCCGGAAGTTTCGGATCGGTCGTGACGATTTTAAAAAAAAAGTCGATGAATAGTACCAACTACATTTGTATTAAAAATTTGCAAAACCTGGCAGCAAGGATTTTTTGGAACAATATTGATTTTTGAAGGCCAAGATGATGTTTTCTAGAAAAACACAAGGAAAAAACCCGCCTCAAAATCAAGTTTTCTATGTGACTTGTGAGGAAAAATGGAAAAAACTCATTTTAAAATACCCGAAATGCCCCTTTAACAGAATAGGGTCAAACAAAAAGATATGCAACTTTAGGTTTTTGTTTTATCAAGGAAGGTATTGTTTGCCAAAGTGAGCATGCAAGTGT